GCGGGCGGCTGGCTCGGGGCGGCGGGGAAGTGTTGCTGGGCCCGACCCGCTGCCCGGGCGCCCCGGCACAGAGCCGTGTGTGCGCGCAGGAAGGGCCCCGCCGGCGGAGCGGGCAGGCCGTAACCCTCGTTTTTCCTCCTGCTTTAACCAAGCAGCTTGAGGAGCAGGAGAAGAGGCAGCGTGTGCCCTGTTTGCAGGGCTGAAGTAACACCGAGACGCCTCGCTGGAAACGGAGGAGAGCGGATGGTGCCCTGCCACAGTGAAGGGCTGTACCAAGATCAACGCTACCTGGGCCACAGAAACCGGCACGCAGGTATGTTCATCAACAGGGAGGTATTGCCGGATTGAAATAAGAGGCAGATGAAAAACATTTGTAAGGCAGCAGCTGGATGAGAAAAAAATCCCACATTCAGTGGTCACAAAGATATGCAGCACTTACAAAAAGTCCAGACAGAACAAAATCCGTTGGTATGCACATTTAAATACATCTTCTTCGTAACAGGATGCTATGTTTGACATCTCTTCCTGCAGCTATGGATTTGTTATCAACTGGGTGAAAGCTCCTGTCAGATATGCTTCATACAACCAGTTGCAGCAGCAAAAGCTCTAGTTTTTCTAGAACAGAAACTCCACTTTCATCTATGGTATGTTTTGTAAAAAAATTTCATATGTATACAATAGTTCAGTGCCCCTCTTGGTGTAGGTGTTTAATCCTTGGCTTTCACACAATGATGAATGCGCTCCCTGTTTTTACTTGCCAGCTGCATTGTTCAGCACTGAAGATATGAATGTACCTACTTTTCTTAGTGTAAGTTTCAGAAATAAGTTTGGCAGGTTGGTGCTTTGCAAAATTCACTATTAAGACCACAGAAAATAGTTTGTTTATATGAACTGATGAATGTAATGTTATTTTCAACAGCTTTAAGATTATATATATTCACTAGCAATATTTATATGTACACACAGTAAACGCCAGAACTTTTGGCTTTGGATATATAGAAAAGCAACTTTCTCTAAGTGATCATATTAAGAATCCTAAGTTGGAAAAGACAACAGGAGGGTTGGAGGACTGAGAAGGTAAGACAGTTAAACTTTATGCTGTATCTTACTGGTTGTAGCCTCCAAAATTATAATAGTGCAATGGCAACTCCTGTTCCCCTCCTGACATGAGGGAAGGCAGTACTGCATTTGCACATAAGGCTTGCACACCATTGGTGCCTTTCACCTAACTCATTTCTACTTAAACTTTCTAAGAGGTCACTAAGGTAGGGGATGAAAAGTCCTGTTTAGCTCAGTACAAGTCTTCCTACTCAATAAAGGCACACAATTGCTTGATGAGGATTAGTCAGATCTTATTTTCAGTTGTTTTGTTAACAATGCTGTGTGTATTAATGGCACCGCTTTTTCCACATTCTAGGCACCATCAAGAGACAATGGGATTTGTCATGCCAACGCTAAACCGAGACTAAGCTTCAACCCTTTATGTGGATGGAACTGTTTGTTGAAAAAGGAAGCTGCAATACTGAAAGCAGTCAGTGCTTGACTGCATGAGACCATGCCTCTAACAGAAGGCAAATGATGTCTTACTTAAAAAACTTTATGAAATGCAAACTTAGTTAAACCCTTTCACTCAGTTAAATCCTTTCAAGTGTCTTCTCCAAGGCAACAATAAACCAGTGTTTGACTTTTCTTAGAGCTGTTACTTGAATAATTGAGGAGGGAAAGCTAAGGTTCCTACTAAGGTGTGTACAAGATGTCTTGCTCTCCCTTCAGATTAAGATTTTTAGTTTGATTTACTATGAAGACCACAGGGGTCAACTTAAGGAAAAAAAAAAAAAGGCAAAAACCTTCTTTTAGCATAGTGGATTTTTTTCCTCATAGTAGCAGAAGTGCCTTTTTAGATACCTGGTGAACTAAAACTTGACATGTAGCTGTTTCATAGAGAACAATTTTTTTGTTCACAGCTAGAAATAGGTACCCTCTGAAAATGTGAAGTTGTCAATATAAAAGAATGCAACAGCAAAGTAAGCCAATAATGCATAACTATCACTAAAACAGTAGAAAAATAACTGCTTACAAAGGCAAACAGTGAACTGATTTTAATTAAATTAAGCAATACTGGTGCAGGCATTCGGAGTGCTCACAACTGTATCTTCAACTCTATACTGCTGTAGTAAGGTGTGCTTCAGGTTGTTAAACTTGTGTGCTTTCATAATTTAAATAACATAGATTGAATATTTTTCTTTATAGTATATGCATCTGTTTTGGGTTTGCGTGGCAAGGTTTTGGTAGCAGGGATGCTACAGGGGTGGCTTCGGTGAGAAGCTGCTAGAAGCTTCCCCCATGTCCAACAGAGCCAATGCCAGCTGGCTCCAAGACAGATATGCCGCTTGCCAAGGCCAAGCCTGAGCCCATCAGTGACGGTGGTAGGGCCTCTGGGATAACGTATTTTAAGGGGAAGAAAACCTGCATGACTGCAGCTGAAGAGAGGAGTGAGAATATATGAGAGAAAGAACCCTGCAGACACCTAGGTCGGTGAAGGAAGGGGAAGAAGTGCTCCAGGCGCCGGAGCAGAAATTCCCCTGCAGCCTGTGGTGAAGACCATGGTGAGGCAGGCTGTCCCCCTGCAGCCCAGGGAGGTCCACGATGGAGCAGATATCCACCTGCAGCCTGTGGAGGACCCCACACTGGAGCAGGTTGATGCCCGAAGGAGGCTGTGACACCATGGGAAGCCCACGCTGGAGCAGGCTGCTGGCAGGACCTGTGGACCCAGGGAGAGAGGAGTCCACACTGGAGCAGGTTTGCTGGCAGGACTTGTGACCTGTGAGGGACCCACGCTGGAGCAGTCTGTGTCTGAAGGACTGCAGCCCATGTAAGGGACCCATGCTGGAGCAGTTCATGAAGAACTGCAGCCCGTGGGAAGAACTTCGGTTGAAGAAGTTTGTGGAAGACTGTGTCCTATGGGAGGGACCCCACGCTGGAGCAGGGGAAGAGTGTGAGGAGTCCTCCCCCCTGAGGAGGAAGGAGCAACAGAGACAATGTGTGACGAACTGACTGCAACCCCCTTTCCCCGTCCCCCTGTGCCACTCAGGGGGAGAAGGTAGAGAAAATCAGGAGTAAAGTTGAGCCTGAGAAGAAGGGAGGGGTGCAGGCAAGGTGTTTTAAGATTTGGTTTTTATTTCTCATTACCCTACTCTGATTTAATTGGTAATAAATTAGTTTCCCCAAGTCAAGTCTGTTTTGCACATGACAGTAGCTGGTGAGTGATCACCCTGTCCTTATCTCAACCTGCAAGCCTTTCATTATATTTTCTCTCCCCTGTGCAGCTGAGGAGGGGGAGTGAGAGCAGCTTTGGTGGTGTCATGGTTTAACCCCAGCCAGCAACTAAGCACCACGCAGCTGCTCACTAACTTCCACCCCACCCAGTGGGATGGGGGAAAGAATTGTGAAGAAAAAGTAAAACTCATGGATTGAGATAAGAACAGTTTAATAGAACAGAAAGGAAGAAAATAATAATAACATGACAATAAGAAAAGAACTGGAATATACAAAACAAGTGATGCACAATGCAATTGTTCACCATTTGCCAAACAACGCCCAGTTAGTTCCCAAGCAGCAATCTGCCCCCCAGGCCAACTCCCACCAGTTTATATATTGGACATGATGTCACATGGTATGGAATATCCCTTTGGCCAGTTTGGGTGAGCTGTCCTGGCTGTGTCCCCTGCCAACTTCTTGTGCCTCCACCAGCCTTCTTGCCGGCTGGGCATGAGCAGCTGAAAAATCCTTGACTTAAACACTACTTAGCACCAACTGAAAACATCACTGTTACCAACAGTATTCTCATACTAAATCCAAACCATAACACTGTACCAGCTACTAGAAGGAAAAGTAACTCTATCCCAGCTGAAACCTGGACAGGTGGGCAGCTGGTATCCAGCCAGGGTCAACCTACCGCAGCATCTAAAGATACATTAAGATAAATAGCTAGCAACTTGTCCTGTTTTTTTCTCAGGAGTGCTTGACAGTTGCTTGCCTGATCCGATAGGATGGTGAGACTACCAAGTTTCCTTTACTCACACAAGTATTGGAACTTTTAACTTGACTAAAGTAGCATTAAGTTTTTCTCATTTTAGAAGAGCAGTCCTAGTTGGCATATGCAGAAGATAGTATCAAGAAGCACACTGCTTAAATTGACAATTATTTATTGTGTTCAGGGACATTCAATAAAGACCAAGCTTTTAGCTTTAGTTTGGCAATCCTTCCCCACCAAAAATCAGTTGGTTGGGGTTTTTTTCTGGCATAAACTCCATTGCCAGCAATGGATGTATCAGAACAAGAAGTTAATAAATAATACACACAGACAGCAGTTTTCTACACATACCTCCTCTTTAAAAGGCATGATACAGATTTACTAAACAAATCTCAAGCAAGTTCTTCACAGAAGAAAATTTTGCTACAAGCCACCTCTGAACATTGTTTTCTTCACCAATGCTGGTAGTTTATTTCATGGAGTACAGTATTTAGTTTTTGAACAGTACTGATGAATCATTTAAAAAGGTTTTTTTGCCCTTAAGGTAAGCTGAGACATATAATTAGTACTGAACTGTATGAATTCAGGAGTAGTGTACACTTGCTGAGCATTTCAGGGCAAACATGAATAAACATACAAGAGAGGAAATGACAATATGATACTCTGGTAGTAGGGGTCCACAGGATTTTCTTTTTTTCTGTTTGTTTCAGCTTGCTTTTAAACCACTGTTCAAATGTTAAAGGTATCATATTTAAAACAGATGTTTTGTTTGACTTTCCATGAAGAACTGTGTTAAAAACACAACTGAAGAAACTTCTGCTCATGATGAGAATCACTTTCAAGTACTTAAATTTTAATATCCCCTTCTATATTCCATTAATTTCTTATTAAAAATGTGTTTTTATAAAAGCATGAAGACTACAGAAAACCAATTAACATAATAGTGTTAATCTTGTATAATTTTTTCCACAACTTTATTTTACATATCACCAAACTTCTGCTTTAGCAAAAGAAAAAAGAATAAAAATAAATTCTCTTCCAAGTATTTACACACAGGAATTACCCTGCTGTGGGATCAGATACTTTACTCTACGGTCCCTCTAATCCAAGGTGTAGTCTTAGGCGTATCCCTTTGTGATTTAGGTTCTTGGAAGTTTTCAGCAAACCTTTCTCTTGCTTTATCCCAGTTCTTTTTATTCTTGCTCTGGATTATCTGAACATCTTCCACTGAGGCTGGTCTACTGGTACCCAAACCTGCATGTGTTTTATGTAACTGAAGGTGGATCTGTCAAATACATTAAATACTGTTGTAACTGCAAGTTAGGTATTCTAATTACTTTCAATCGTACTTTATAATACTAGTTCCACCCCCCTTCCCCAAGTGCTTCTCTTTAAGACTCTAAAGATACCTAGATCATACACAGACATTTAAAGTACTGTTAAAATGATGGGTCAAATCACCACCTCTAGAACTATGATCTAGAGGGCTGAATGATGTCAAAAGCCACTAAAATTACTGTGAAGTACTCCTCACTGAGTGAAGAGCGTATGATCCCTGTGCTGCGTAGTTTGACAGCAAAAGGTATAGGGTGGCTTTGAGCAGCACTAGTGTCAAAAGACAACACATCTCTGGTGATAAAAATGGGGCTAACACAGCTGCCACAGAGGCCCAGAACTCAGTGGCTAGAGTGACTTCAGCCAGCTTTTCCTCTCTCATAGGCCATCACCTAGCTTGATTTTTGTGCTGCATCAGCCTCAGCGAAAGTGAGGAATTCCAACATAAGCCCATCTTGAATTCACATCACTTAAAATTATTTAAATCTTCTTCCAGACTTTGTGTTCAAATATGAGATCATTAATTCAATGCCTAGAAGCTGTTGTACTCCCTTCATTTCCTAACACAGGCATTACTGGCATTTTCTATTGAAGGGACAAAATCACTGAAAAACTTCAAAATACTTCATTAATCAAGTAAAAAAAAATAATTTGAGATTAGTCCTACTGAGATTATTCCTTCCTAACCAGGACTTTGAAATGTTTCAAGTGAATAGTGGCTTACAGTTAGATATTTTTCACTGCAAATACATTTATATTCCTTTTTGCTCCAAGTAAAAACCAGAAAGACCTACCGGATCCTTCATACCACCACCATCCTTGCCCAGGCCTTCCCCCTTCTTCCACCCCATCTTCTCCAACATTTTATGTCCTTTGTTGCTGTTGCTGATTTCACTTCAAAGAAAGTTTAAGATAACTGGTAAGCAAGAGTTAAACAAACAGTATAGTTTCTACACAGATACTGAAGGACAGAAATGTGCATGTACATGCTGCTCTAGAAACCAGGACTGAACTACTGTGCTGTTCCTATTTCTATCAAGAGCTATCCAGAAGACCCTAGTGCTACCTTTTGTGAGTTCTTCCATGAATATCTTCAGTTACCAAAGCTATTCGAAGCCTCCGGTCAAAACCAGCTTTCTTAAAACTCCTTCTGAACTACTTGCTTACTTTAGGAGTTAAAAGATACAGCATGGGTGGGTGGGAATTGACTGCACTAGGGAAAAGGCAGTATCACTACCTCACCACCAAATCATCCTAACGCGCATTATTTCATTGTCTCACACTTCCTTTTACTAACTTAGAAGCATCTACAAGTTCCTGTTTCTTAAAAAGCCCACCCCAATTACAACTACAGGAGCAAAGCAATAATTAAAGAGGGAGATTAAAGTGTCATTTAAGAGGTATATAAATGAATGTCCCATGATAGGCTGGATATTGACAATGAAAGAAACTGCAGGTGAAAAATTTGCATGTGTACTACTGCTGGGACTGGAAAGAAGAATAGAAATTGAGACATGTGAAAATAGACACTGTTGAAGGTGTAATAGTGCAGCTGGGGAGTTCCTTGATTTTTTTGAGTTGGTAAGGAGCGATCTAAGCATCTTTACTGCCAACTTGAATTCTGTATGGAAGATGAGGAGTTAATAAAAACCATGTGAACTGCAAAGTGAGAATAGCTTACTATTTTCTAGCTCTCCTAACACATTATATACAGGTAATTCATAATCTAACAAACTGTATCCTAGTGACTAATTGATACTTACTTTATCATCATTTTTCAAGATTCACTAGAGAAGGACATGGAGGATTCCCCACCCCACAACAAACTCACATATGAACAGAAGCTGGACTATCATCTCTCTGGAAGGTTCCTTCACTTCCAATGGTCTCTCTGCGTCTTCCTG